TTTATTTCATAAATTGAACTAAGATATATTGAACTACTATATGACTAAGAAAGTATCTACTTTATTTTTCAAACCTCATCTTGAGACAACTGTGTGATTTTTTATTTTCAAGCCCCCTCCCTTATTGAAAAATTATGCGTACGTCACTGCTTGTGTTACTTTAATTGGCAATATTATATAATCGTTACGACTTCAGTCAATAAAGGTCTGTAGGACTTCAAGTATGGCGATCGGAGCTTGATGGTAGGCGTAACGATACCTTTGTCGTTTATGTCTTGTTCTTGACTCATCAAAGTAATACGTATAGAACCTTAAAAAAAACAACCATAATTCGTTGAAGGCGCGATGCTCAAAGATAAGTCGTGCGCATTTGTAAAATCAGAAAATCACGAACTTCGGATGGATATAACTCCCAAAAAATAATGATTTTTGCCAATCGTTTTTGCTCCATCGACTTTAACTCGTTGAAATACATAGGTACAATTTTATATGCATTTATATATATAGTTTGCCGCCAAAAACGAGGGTGGAATTTTTTAAGTGCTCCGCGGGGTGCATTATAACTGAGCATGCGGCGGTCCTGCAGACACTAGCAAAACATTGTGCGGAATAGAGATCAACTCGAATATTGTATAATAATATTATAAAGCACAGCCGGATATAGACGCGTAGAACAATAACAAACTATATTATAATCTTACGGTTGAATTTTTACGGTATGTGTTTGTAAATAATACCTGAAATCATATAATGTTTAGGAAACGTGCGATATTATCATCATCATTATATTATATATTATGACTTATGAATATGATTATGCGTTACTCGGCGAACGTTCGGAAGAATTTCGTCTCCGGGGGCAGGGTGGGATGCCATTGGCGATGGATTATGTTGACAAATCACAAAATAGCATCAGGGGCGGCTGGTGAGGAAACTGAGCGCGCGCGACCCATGTGTCAGTGTAAAYAGATAGGGACAGGGACCGGTGGTGTGTTGTCGGCGGTAAAACGCCGTGCGCGATGATCGGTATTCCGCGGCGGGGTGTCGTCAGCGTCGTCGAGTGGGTGACGGCGGCGGTGGTGGTGGTGGTGCTGGAGGGTGGCGAATAAATGCCGAACGACGCCGATTATGCGAGCGCCGGCGAACACGCCCCCTCGGGACCGCGCAACGGTGCCGGGGTGTACCAGCCCCGCGGGCAGTCGACCAATCGCGCGCGACACCCGATCCCGAAGCGGTGTATTGCCGACACCCCACTGTAGCCCGCACGCTAGTCCGCGACGGCGGTAATCAAACGTAACGCGCGGCACTTAAACGATTGACGGCTCTATTAAACGTTTATCGTTGGCGCGTAATACTGAAAAACACTGAATATAATTCATATAATTATATACCTGCAGTGTGTGTTTACSCGCGGTATATCGCATTACTGTATAATATATACTATATACATTTATTATATCGGTACGTAAGATAAACCGATTTTTATTAATTTCGATAATTTCTACGATATATAATTATTGTCGCGAGTAGTGTTCGCCGTCGTACCGAAAATTAACATTATTTAAACGACGAAACGACAGCGACTATGACGATTGCGGCCGTACGGTGAACGCCGTCGTAGCTGACCTATTGCACCCGATCCGCGAACAGGCCACACGTCGTTGTATAACATAACTATATATAGTTCACGTTCACGTCCGCAGAAACCGATGAAATTGGACGGACGACTTGGCGGGACGACGTGCGACGGTGGTGGCGGTGCTGTTTACCGCGCATCAGCGGGTCTCAGCGACAACGGCGATTGCACGGAACGGCCACCGACTTCCACCACCGTCGCCACAGCCGCAGTGGACGAGCGCGGCTTGACGTCGCCGCGGGAACAGTGCGATTGCGACTCCGACGCCCGTGGACAGGCGATGGCCACCTGCACGGCGGCCGGTCCCGCGGCCGTGCCGAAGACGTCTGCCGTCGGTTCGTCGCTGTTTACCATCGACAG